AGAATAGAATAGAATAGAATAGAATAGAATAGAATAGAATAGAATAGGAATAACAGAGTTTGAAGGGACCTTGGTGGGCTTCTAGTCCACCCCCCTGCTCAGGCAGGAAACCCTATATCTTTTCAGACAAATGGTTGTCCAATCTCTTCTTAAAAACTTCCAGAGTTTGAGAAGTCACAACTTCTGGAGGCAAGTTGTTCCACTGATTAGTTGTTTTCACTGTCAGGAAATTTCTCCTTAGTTCTAAGTTGCTTCTCTCTTTGATTAGTTTCTACCCATTGCTTCTTGTACCACCTCAGGTGCCTTGGAGAATAGTTTGACTCCCTCTTCTTTGTGGCAGCCCCTGAGATATTGGAACACTGCTATCGTGTCTCCCCTAGTCCTTCTTTTCATTAAACTAGACATACCCAGTTGCTGCAACTGTTCTTCATATGTTTTAGCCTCCAGTCCCCTAATCATCTTTGTTGGTCTTTTCTGCACACTTTCTAGTATCTCAACATCTTTTTTCAGCCTCATCTTTTTATGTTTACACAGTAATATACTGCATGCTAGCCATTTCTATAACAACAAACCTGTCTAATCTGCAAAAGCCAAAGTCAAAGTTTAATTTTTTCCCCATCTCAAGTACAAATTCTAGAAGTGGAGGAGTAAAAATCCTGAAGGATAAATGTGTTTCATTGTATGTATTGATTTGGAAACATGAAAATGATTTTCTCCGTTTATCCTGGTGAGAAGTAACATCTGTGGTGCAAAAATAGCATCTCTACTCTTTAAAGTGAAGTCACTCATTTAAAAACTAAAGTCTTCACACCTTGCAATCGTTGTAATGTAATAGTTCAGGTGTTGAACGTAGACAAGCAGAATTCAGATTCGAGTTTGCACACAACAATCAATTTCAGTGCTAAAGAAACTCATTGCCACTGTGGGAATAAAATGGAGTTCTCCCATGCCACCCTGGAATATTACCTTGAATTCTCAGTTCAATAATAAATAAAATGATAAAACATGTAAAGTGTTGGTTTGGATTAGAGTGTTGTGTGAATCTAACCACTATAGTTTATAACCAATTATTTATGTTGCAGTTTGATGTGCGAAGCTAGTGGACAAACTAGAGTTAAGCAAACATTGTTGAACCAGGCAATGTACAGATTTGGGTTGTATCTGCACTTTGACTTGAATCACGATTAGGAACAGCATCCTCTGCTAAGCCAAAACCAAGTAAACAGATTCATAATATTGGATCTGGATTCATTTGGTCTACAATTAAACATCAAACACCTTTCCAATGCAGCTACTAAGATTGTTGGCTGTGCAGGGACAAAGATAGCCAGGGAAATGATTGAAGTCTGGGAAACAGGCCCTTTGTTAGTCAACAGGAAAGTCAATTTACCACCAGCTTATCAGGTACTTAGTAGCTGAGGGCTTGGCAACACAAGGAAACAACAGCGAATCACCAGCCACTAACTCACCAATCAACCAATAAGAAGGCGCAACATAAATACAATTAATTCTTCTTTTTGTTCTGCCATACCTGTCATCAGATGTTGGCAATCATGTTGGCAATCCTATTTTTATCAACAGCTGCACAAAAAAATGATGTTGAGTTATGTTGAAACCAGTCCCTTAGATTTTGAAGCCATGATCTTCTTCTTCTGCCTGGACCTTGTTCACCTTCAATCTTTCCTTGGAGGAAAGTATGCTGTATTTTTCTGGGTGTCACATCACACGTCCAAAATATTCTAACTTTTTAATGGTTTTGATGATTTCCCTTGACTTTCCCAGGAGGCTTATCACCTCCTCATTTCTGATTTTGTCAACCTGACGTATATGTAATAGCTGCCTGTAAATCCACATTTCAAATGCTTCTAGTCTCTTCAGGTGACTTTCTGTCAGAGACCAACTTTTCACTCCGTAGTGTTGGGCTATTCTATGAAATACAATTCATAGAATAGCCCAAAGCACATATTCCAGTAGAGAGAAGTTCCCTGAAGTTGGGCTTCAGCACAAGTCCAAAAGCTCAGAAGAGTTAACCTCTGGCCCCGATGATCCACCCAGATTGGATCTTGCAATCTCTCCACTTTACCTGTCGTGCAACACAAGAACCTTTGGATCTCTTAACTGAACTACAGTGCATCTCCTTCTTTGTTTACAAGCAAAACCGAGCATTTGCTTGAATCTCCGTCAGCAAACAAGAGAGATCAAAAGCAGTCCAAGTGTATCTTTCCCTGTGCATTTTTAGAGATAGGATGTGACAATAAGGATTTATGTGTAGAATGACTCAACTTTCTGATTCAGGCCACATCCCACTGTTCCCTTTTCCCCACAGTCCTCTTCCACCGAGGGCTGAATTATATTTGCTATGATTGTCTAAAATCTCATAGTAATTTAGCTTCTTCGTTTTCTATTATTTTGCTTATTTCATGGTCCCACCTGTTCTGGCTTGTAGGCAAATGGTATTGCAGATATCCCAGTGCATCATTGTTGCTACTTGGCTATTCTGTCGTTTGAAGTCAGTCTGTATGATCTTCTTGCAGCAGCGAACTAGGTTGCCCACTGATTCTTCAGCTTTATCATTATTGGCATAGAATTTTTGCTATTCAGCAGGGTTGAGAAAACGGCTGCTTATTCACAGTGGAAACACCTGTGTATGAAACTTGCTGCTTCTTTCTCTGAGTTGGGGGTCTCCCCTAGCGAGACTGAGAAGCTCTGAGTGTACGTGCCCTGCTCCCGTAACAAAAGGGATTCGGTAGGGAAAGGTGGGCTAGACAGAGAGAGCAGGTGTTCTCAGCAAACCCGGGCAGCTTTCCACCATTCCTCCCGATGCCCAGGTCTGGTGGTTGGGAATATGGTAAGAGCTTTCCTCTCAGGCACCTGGTCTGTCAAGATAGAGCATTTACCTGTCAGCACAGATGGCAAATCCAGGCAGCCACAGGAACAAGGAACTCATAATTATCTGAACATAATGAAGGATTTCATTAAGCACCCTCAGGGGAATCCCCCAAATAAAGAAGGAAAAGAAACTCAGCAGCAAGAGAGAGAAAAAGAATGAGCTTCTGTTTCCGCCGTCCAGATGCTTTTGAGTCAATCTTGACTTCTTCAAAGTCTCGTGAATTGGAAAGAAAGTTGGAAGCAGAGAGAAGTGAGGTCTTTCTCCTCCTCCTCCTCCTCCTCCTNGTTTTATGGGGAGTAGATTAGAAAATGTTGGTATACAATACAAACACAATATAGTTAGGCATCACCAACTTGACAATTCCTGGCTGAATGTCTGCAGTGCCAAAGAATGCATAAAATAACCGATCTCTTGTCTTTCTTTCTTTCTTTTCTCATTGGCATTTGCAGGAGCTCTTCTAAGCTCAGAAATGTTTGTCATCCTCATGCTATACCTGTGGCTGGGGATTGGACTTGCCTGTGCCGGTTTTTGTTGCCACCAAATGCTGCTGATCTTGCGAGGGCAAACACGGTACCAGATGCGGAAGGGGATGGCCGCCAAAAGCCAGCCCTGGAAGAAGAATCTGGAGGAGGTCTTTGGGAAGAGATGGCTGGTTGGACTGCTTATTCCTGTGCTCAGTGTGGGAAGTGACTATCACCAGCAGAAGGAGAAGTGACAGCTTCCTTAACACTTAGCAACGTGCAGAGGTGCACGCACACATGTGCATGTACACACATTTGCTGTAGCGGAATTCAGCTCTTGGATATACTTGTCCTTTCCCCACCTTGTAGCCTTGCAATGTATCAGAGAGAGAGAGAAAAAGGCAAAACCATTGAGGCCATGGGGCTAATTCTATGGTTTAAAGGAAGCGGGACTGACCAACTCTAGTACAATTGAAGCTATGGGCAGTCATCTCTGGGTTGCTAAAGATCTTAAGCAACCCCTCCCTTGAGAAGCCAGTTCTCTCCTCCACCTCACCCCGATGGCTGAGTTTCCCCCCACCTTGACTTTTGGGTTTAATTGGGGGAAGAGGAGGAGGAGGAGCAACCTTCTCCTTCAGCTTCTCCAAAGTAGCCTGTATTGTCACGAGAACAGGCTGTAAGCACAAGCATAGGTTCCTGGGAGATTTACCCAATGTGTTAACTGAAGGTTTTGGTGGCTTAAAATGACCCCAATTAAGAAAGAAGCTGCTTTTTTTTTGCAACAGGGTTGGTTAAACTCTTAAAAGCAGAAGGAAATACACACACACACACACACACACACACAAACACACACACAGACGAGATCTGGGAAAACAAGTAGAATTTGCTTATGTTCTGAAATGGAAAGCATTTACTGTATTTTGGGACTATAAGACGCACCGGAGTATACGACGTACTGTGATTTTGAAGAGGTAATTTTTTTTATAAAGTTTTTGCACTCGGCAAGCCGCCCAAATCATCTGCATGCCTCATTTTTTTGCAGGAAAAAAAGGTCATGCAGAGCTTTGAGAGGCTTGTAGAGTGCTCCTGGGGGCTAAGGCCCCCCCAAAATGAGCAAAGATGGCCTGTTTTTACCTCATTTTTGCCCTCCCCAGTCCCCAGGAGCGCTTTGCAAGCCCCCCGAACCCTCTGCACATCCATTTTTGCAAAGGGGGCAGGGTTTCAGTAGGTCAAAAATGCTGTATTCAGTGTATAAGACGCATCCAGATTTTCACCCTATTTTTTGGAGGAAAAAAAGTGCATCTTATACTCTGAAAAATACTGTATTTCTCCCTCTAACTACCTCCGCTCCAATACACAAGAATGGCATTTAATAGCCTTATCATATGCCCTCCCAGGAGAGAAGATACATTCCCACCCTTCCTTTCGAATCTCTACAGCAGGGGTGTCCAGCTGAAGGCCTATGGACCGGATCCGGCATGCAGGGTGCTTAGATCTGGCCCATGAGGCTGCCGTGGAAACAGCGAAGGACCAGTCCACGGTGCCTCTGCCAGTGAAAACCCAATCTTTGTGGTCAATCTGGCCATGTCCACTCTGTCCCTCTCCCAAGGTCAAACACAATTCTGATTCGGCCCTCAATGAAATCGAGTTTGATACCCCTGCCCTATAGAATGAGGCATGTTTTTTCAACCACTCTGTCTCCCTGCTCTGCTTGGAATGAATCTAGCTCAAAGTATCACTAGCAGGTATTCTTTGCGGTGGGGTGGGTGTTGTAGGGGATACAGAGGAAAAAATAGATGGGGATATGTAAAGGGAAGGAATGACTCTCTCCCGATGCTTTCAACTCGGAAAAATCGCCATTGAATTCTAGCAAGCCAAAAGATCAGCAAGAGAAAGCAGGACCCGTCATTCTGCATCTCACAGAAGTCGTCAAGTGAAATACTCATTGAATTATTGAGGAGAGAATAGCAGCCCTCAAAGTAGAACTTTGCAATCAGTCAGTATATCATAATTAATAGGATGAAGACTTTGACCCATGCCTGGGAGATAAGAACATATTAGGGGCAAACTCAGCCTTACTATCTCATTCCTGCTCTGCATGTCCTCTTAAGCTAAGGTTTATTTCATGGCTTGTTCATAGCCCAGTGATGGCTTTTGGGATGCACCCATTTCCACTCTTCACTAACCAGCAGAAAGGGGCCAGAGGCAAATCTTTCAGCTCCGAGAAGCCAGTTCCTGGATTTAAACAAGAAATCAAATCAACCTACTGATTTTTAGCTCATTACACACTCCCATGTTCTCTTTCCTAGGATTCTATAATGGAAAGTGCCTGATTTGTGGTGGTTGTTTTTTTTAAAAAAAGAACTATCTTCCATATTGTGAAATTTGCAGAAACCTAAAATCCATCACTATTTCAAGAATCGGAATTTTTTCTCCCAAAATCTTTTTAGTGTGTGTCTATATGTACAGAGAGCCCTGTAACATGTGCAGAGAACATAATTCTTATGAGAAAACACACACACACAAATATAAATACGGTTGCATTCTCCTATTTATTACAACACAATACTTTGTGTCATTTTTAGGTTTGGGAACAAAAGTATTACAAAAGTATTACAAAACAATGATGATTGAACAAATAACAAAATGTACAATACAGACAATATTGGATGTGGCTTTAAAATACAAACCTATTTAAAGCTTTGTGAAAAAGATTTTTATGATATCAGAAAGATACAACTGCATGTGGTGAGAACAGAGCATGTCACCAAGAGAGAACACCAATGAGCAACACCAAATTCTTTTTTTATCTTGGATGATGAAGATAGCTGGAGAATGATATGTAGGGACAGGTTGATTTATTTCTGAATTAAGTTTCTTTTTTTTTAGCTGCCCTTCTTCTATGGGTCCTGGAGTTCTATGCAGGGAATGCAAAATCCAAAATATGTCCTAAAGTAGTAAAATAAAAGGTTAATATGAAAGTAAAAATCCTACCCTCAATATCCAAGTCTATGTCATCTAGATTCAAAATATTCCCAGATTCAATCTATTCTTTTCCAAACAGCTGACCATTATTCAAAGTTAATATTAATCAGCACAAGTAACTTCGCTGTCTTTTTGAAGTATCTGGAAGAATTCTGGGGAGGCAGTAGATGCTGGAGATCTTTTTTTAAATGACATTTTTAATCCAAATGTATTTTTTGGTGGTACCAATACATTAAGAGGAAACAAAAAAGGTAACATAGTCTGAAGAATTGCTTTGATTATAAGAAATCTTAGGAGAAAAAAATAGCTAGTAAGTTAGATAGATAATAGCACATTTAGGGGAAAAAGGCCTTCTAGTAAGACATGCACTTGCATGAAAATATATTTAACTACCTACTTAATAATATGCTGCATTTGCACAACAATAAAGTATTTGGGTTTTTTGTGTGTTGTATGTTGTCATCTTTCTATGTTGTATTCTAACAAAATGAAATTCAACGTAGAGAAAAGTAATGTCTTACACTTATGCAAGAAAAACCAAAAGTACATATATAGATTGGGTAAAACCAGTCTTAATAGCAGTAACTCTGAGAGGGATCTTGGAGTGTTAGTGGACAACCAATTAAATATGAGCTAACAGTTTGCGGCAGCAGCGAAAATAGCCAATGCAATACTAAACTGCATTAACAGAGAGATGCAATCAAGATCAAATGAGGTACTAAAACCACTTTATAAAGCCTTGGTAAGGCCACACTTGGAATACTGAATCCAGTTTTGGTCATCACACTATACAAAAGATGCTGAGACTCTAAAAACAGTGCAAAGAGCAACCAAGATTATTAGGGACCAGAGGCTAAAACATAAAATGAACAGTTGCAAGTACTTGGTATGGCTACTCTNCGACCTGCACAAAAAGACCCAGAAGGGGGAGATTCTCTGCAGCAACAGAAGTGTTCATTGCATGTATCCGGCCTAGGGGCTGTAGTTTGATGACCCCTGATTTAATGCAATATAAAAAATACAAAATAATTTTTCTGCGGACCATAAAATTCTCCCACAGACCACCAGTGGTCCACGGACCACCAGTTGGTGACCGCTGCTCTATAGGTAGTCCTTGACTTATGACAATTGGGACCAGAATTTCTGTTGTTCAGCAGGGCAATTGTTAAGTGAGTTACGTCTAATTTTATGACCTTTTGTGCCATAGTGGTTTGGCAAATCACTGCCGTTGTTAAATGAATCATGAGATTGTTAAGCAGATCCAGCTGCCCTTGGCGACTTCCACTCTTTGCATCTTTTATCCCACTGAGTGCTAGGGGAACTGTGAACAAAGACAACATGGAAAAAGTGGTATTTTGTTTCTAACTCTAATCTGCTCTTCCATGATTGAAAAACTGATACTCTAATCTTTACCCTCCTTGTTACAGGAAGATTTTCCTTCCCATTTCTGTATTCCACCATGTAGATGTTGTTACCTAAGCATACAATTTCCTTATTAAAGTAAACTGCTCCTTTTAGCCTACAATCATGTTAATACCCTTCTTGGTGTGCTCACTTAGCAACTGTTTGAAGTTATAACATTTGGATCCTTCCAAATGTTACTTACAACCCAGTTCTGGTGGCTGCACAAAACCTCTGTGGTCACATGACTTGGCACTTCAGGTGCTCGGCAGCCAGTTTGTCTTTAGTGTTCCTGTAGTGATGTGACCACTATTTACAACATGTTTGCTGGTTTCTGGCCTTTTATCCTTTATAGTCTTTTAATCTGGCTTAATGACTGCCACAAAAAAAGTCACAAATTTGGGTCAGGCCATACAAGGGCCTTGACTTATAACCATCATGACTTACAATGAAGATTCCAGACTCCATTAAGATCCTAAGTCTTGGGTACACAGTGCCTTCTCTGCGGGCATGCGAGCCGTCGCCCCAGTTCACCTCCGCCGTGCCTGTGCGGCGCGCGTGCCTCCCACTGGTCAGCAGACTTTTGGGTCTCTGCCGCGCATGCACAGGGTGCATGNGTGCGGAAGCAGATAGGGTCACTCTTGAACTTAAAAATAAAGGGGAACCAGAATATTTTGAAGTCTGGCACAGATTTTATGACTGGTGTAAGACAAGGTGACAAGACTGGAACAAACTGTATATATTGCGATTGGACAGAAGGATTGATAATGTATTGAGTAGGCTAATTGCCCACGGTTGAGACTAGCTGTATATAATGTGAATGTATGGTCACTTCGACTTCGCGGTACTGCATTGTATTAAATGTAAAAATAATAAAAATTTATTGGAAAAGAAAGAGAAGATACTTCCTAAAAGTAACAGCCATTTTGTGGTGGGGAGTATCGTCAGACAGCTGTTAGGCTGCTCTTTCCTGGTTGTTCAAGGCGACTTCCTAAGAATGGTTTAATCTGGATTCTTGCGCTGAGCAAGGAGCTGGATTGGATGACCTCAGAGGCCCCTTGCTCTTAGATTCTGCCATTCAGCGAGTGGCTGCTTCAGTGTTACACTTTTCCTCCTCCTCATCCATGTTTCTCTGTCTGTCCTTCAGGAGGAAGTCGGTTGGAGAGAAGACGCTCCCAGTTTTTCTGTAGGTGAGAAGCTCTGAAATCTCATCATCTGTCCCTTGTAAGTACCACTCTGAACTTGCCCAAACGTGGACTCACAACCCCCCCGGTCATGTCCGCAGAAAGAAACCAGTGCTGGGCTGGGAAGGCGAGCGGTTGAGCAGAGCCGAGGCCGAAATGGCGGCCGAGCGACGGGAGGTGTCCTCTGTGGGCCTCCACCCGTACGAAACCAGGGTGGAAAAAGGAGTCAAAATGGAGGAGTTCGAAAGAAATAGCCTTGCGCTGGCCGGCCCAACCCGGTTCAGGAGGAGCCCTTACGTGGTCCAAACTTTCACCGTCGGGGAGCATTTTAGCCGGATGACAGCCAAGCCAACGGAGCGGGACCTCGGGGAAGGGAGGCTGTCGCCATGTTGGGAAGCCCAATGGCGGGACATCCTGAA